ATCTCCTGCCTTCTCCAAATTCTTTACCCTTTTGTGAATAGACCTGTAAGTGTTTTGGGAAGAAATTAATGGTCTGGCAATAGGATCTCTGTAATTTATTAAAGATGCAAGCTTTCTGGGCCACTTAGGTCCCTTCTTCAGGCTCTGCACAATTAATTCAGTAGAAAGATGAGATACAAAATACAGTCATTCAAGGAGACGTGCAAGGAAATCCAAATAGGGATGTTCAAAAGAAACAAGTAAACAAAATGCTTATGTGGCCATGACAAAATACAGGTTGAAACTGGTCTTTTCTAGCATTAATGAAACCCATCTCAGGTTGATTTGGCTAGAATGAGGCTGATGATTATGTCAATTTGTCTATCACAATTCATTAATTGTATGCTACTTTATGGGTTGGTGAAATGAAAATATACAGGATGCAATGTTGTCCTGTTCATCTGGCTCTTAAACAAAATATTTTAAAGAAGAACTCGTGGCATAAATATTCTTAACCCTTGCAGTGGGGCGATCCACTCATTGCAAGAATTAGGTGCACGTTTTCGTTAAGGTACAAAAATAACAAAGTTATACTCACCTGGACCATGCAGCCGGTTGGCTGTTACATTGGTCCCTATAGCCTTGCTACGCTCCAGCGGTCTAAGGTCCTGTGAGTCATCACATCCAATAGAGTGCATTGGATGTGAGTGTGAGGATGCCAAGGGACATTTCATCGCTACAGTGGAGGGGGAGAGAGGCTGAAAGGACCGGTCTAACAGCGAGGTTCAGGTGAGTATACCGTTATTATACTTGTACCTAGACGAAAACAAGTACCTAACACTTGCAGTGTGGAGGTAGCATATTAGAAGAATAGCATATGCATGAGTTCTTTAACCTCTTGCCGTCCGCCCGTAGTAAAAAAACGGACGGACGCACTGCAGCATCTGCGGGTTGCCGTCACTTATATCAAATGTTTTGTGGGATTTCATCTGGAATTATGTGTCCATTACTTGAAGGTGACTACCTAGGAAGCCAAATACATTGGGTGCTCAAGAAGTTTACTAATAGACCTGTAAGGTGTAGAACAACAATTTGTGTCCAGTACAAGAAGCCACATTCATCTATGCTATTTAAGAAAACCTTGAATTTCTTAATGACTGTGCAGCATTTTGTTTGCTTTCACACTGTAGCCTTAATATTGCACAAGCACAAGATGCTTTAAAACAGCGGTCTCAAAGTACCGGCCCGCGGCCCAACTCCGGCCCGCGAGCCGGTACTATGTGGCCCGCAGCCAGCTGATAAGTCGGGCACACGGTCACGGACCACGTGCCCGACTTGCGGGAGCAGCAACACGGTCTGCATCTCTGTCGGATGCTCTGAGCTCTGTCAGTTCTGAGCTTCGGCCGAATGATGGATGATTAGTAAGGTCAGCACTAGACCTTACTAATCACCACTAGATCACCAGGGAACGATGATGTGCCTCCTCCCTGCACGGATGCAAGAAGGTGAGGGGGCTTGGAAGGAAAGGAGAGAGGGGGGTGTATTATATGTGTTCTGGGGGCTTGGGAGGGAGGAAGTTTAATATGTGTGCTGGGGGCTTGGGAGGGAGGAAGTTTAATATGTGTGCTGGGGGCTTGGGAGGGAGGAAGTTTAATATGTGTGCTGGGGGCTTGGGAGGGAGGAAGTTTAATATGTGTGCTGGGGGCTTGGGAGGGAGGAAGTTTAATATGTGTGCTGGGGGCTTGGGAGGGAGGAAGTTTAATATGTGTGCTGGGGGCTTGGGAGGGAGGAAGTTTAATATGTGTGCTGGGGGCTTGGGAGGGAGGAAGTTTAATATGTGTGCTGGGGGCTTGGGAGGGAGGAAGTTTAATATGTGTGCTGGGGGCTTGGGAGGGAGGAAGTTTAATATGTGTGCTGGGGGCTTGGGAGGGAGGAAGTTTAATATGTGTTCTGGGGGCTTGGGAGGGAGAGGGGAAGTTTATTATTATATATGCTGGAGGGAAGATTGGAAAGGGGGGAGTGCATTATTATGTGTGCAGGGGGGATTGGAATGTGGGGGAAAATAAATAGACACCGGTACTCCAATAGTAAATCGATTACGTCTATTTATTGACGTACATCAAAAGCAAAATAACACACTTAGTGCTTCATTTCGGGGACACACAGGAACCCCTTCATCAGGCAAAAACAAGTGTTATGGACTGTATTTGGAATGTGGGGGAGTCCCCTATATTTCAGGTGCGATTAGGGATTCCTGTGTCACAAACTTGCGTTTTCCTGCAGCACGAATCCCTAATCTGGCGTTTACAGGCAGCAACTGTCACCCATTCAAGTTAATGATCAGCTGACAGCCGCTGCATATACACGCCTGCATACCGCATGTAATCGTACGTGATATGATTACATGCAGTTACAAAAACAATCACTACCCCTGGATACACAATGGTGTATCCAGGGATAGTGATTGATTCCTAACTGCATGTAATCCTTTCACATATGATTACATGCGATGTGCAGGCGTTTACATGCAGCAGCTGCCACCCGATCATTAATTTGAATCGGTGACAGTTGCCGCTTGTAACATGTGCATACATTAAAACTGGTACCGTATAAAGTAGTGGCCCCCAGGGGACTAAAACATTTGTCCAGTGGCCCCCGACTAAATTGAGTTTGAGACCCCTGCTTTAAAACAACATTAACTTACTTCACAATATGTTAAGAAAAAATTGTCGTCAAGCTAAAAAACTAAACTGAGTCAACAGAAGGGGACAGGTTACCTATTCAGAATCCAGTACTTTAAAGAGAACCTGTCACCAAACCATTCATTTCAGAGACAATCTTTTCAAAAGAATTTGTGTGCATTTAACCTATTTTATGTATGTTATTTACCTGTAAAAGCCTATTAGGCATTTTTCAAGAAAAAAGTAACATGAAAGAATAAGGACAATAAAGGCACCATAGATGCAACAGTAAGAGCAGTAGATACAATTTTTCAAAAGGGTCTTATCCACACTACCTAGCAATAGTTCAAAATCATAAATGGGTGTGGGATTGAGGGGAGCAACTCCTGTATTCCTTTAAGCAATGTGGAAATGACCTGTGGATGAGTAAAACTGCCATCCCATGTACCGAAAAGGAGAGAATGGCAAGAGGGGATGAGAAGGATCAAGAGAGAAGGGGGATGAGAAGGAAGAGGGAGGTGAAGAGGGCAAGAGAGGTAGTGACCTCTGGGGGCATTCTATAATTCAGTTCTCTGGAGAATGTTCTTCAATTGATCTGAACCTATGAAGAGGATCCAAACATTCCTCGTGGATGTATAGCCCAAACATGTCATATTGCCTTTACATTGATGGTTAATGGTAATATTGATGTTCAGTGGTCCTTTATTTTAAGCAGTACAAATGTCCCCTTAGGGTGTCAGGGTGGCTGCTCACTTTATACTTCACAACACTCGTATGTGTTCTGGCAAAGCACATCACAGGGCAAATCTTAGCAAACAGCGTATTTGTTGCTATGCAACACACCCTTTGTGGGCGCCTCTTTGCAGCATCCCAACAGCTCCAATGGCTTTTACTTATTTACATCCAAAAATGATTTTGTTTTACTGAACATTTCCTGAAGCTCTTCTTAACTTGAGAAATACCCAGTGTATGGAATGAAATGTTCCCTTTTCTTCAGTTCTGGGTGCTGGCAGAGTTGTGGGGTTGCAGTGTTGGGTACTGAGGAGCAGCTGCTAGCAGCCAGAAATGCAGGCACGGGTTGGTGAATTAATCTACAGAGAAGGCTGTGCTTGCAGATCTTGCGTTTACAATTATACAGTAAAAAGGGGTTGTTTGAAAATGCAATGAAGTTTTTTTTCACCAGAACCTGCTCTGGTTTCTCTTCTCTCTGCCTCGCATCCCAATGAAAAAGCAGCTATAATAGAAAAAGATGCCCCTGCTTAGGTCCTCAAAATGAAAAAGATTGACCGTCCTGCACCAAGACCATCTCTTGATGAAGATGATTGCCAAAACAGACCTTTCTTGAATGATCCAAGTATACATATAACCATTCAAAAACTTTACATTTGTATGTTATGTCAATTTATATTTATTGCTAAAAGACGTTTAAAGTAAAGCCAATGACCTTTGAACTTAAGCACTTCTACTGATGGAAATTTCACATACTGTAATTGAGTTATAATTGAGTAGTCTAAACTCAGCCCACTAGTGCATGGAAGTCCTATAATCTCTAAGCTCGCTGTAGGGAAATGTTTCTGCATTAGATGTATAATTGATAGGTTTCTGAGTATTTAAGGCTGGGCATGAAAATGTCCTTAGTTATATGTTTGTTTAAAGCTAAGAAAGTCTCAGTTCAGTGCTGAAAGACATGCTTTATAGTATGGCCTCCTGGATGATCAACCCTGTCACTAATACAAGTGATAAGAAGGACAAGGTGGCGTGAGGGACATTAGCTGGTGCCTGGGTGATTGGAATGCATCCTGCGTACGTCCAGTGCCTGCACCGATTCCCCAGGCTCCCCTTCTGACAGGTGAAAACTTACTCATTAAGTGAAATTTTATTCATCCTTATCATGTATTATTGAACACGGCATGTAAGGAGTGCAGGAATTTTCAAAGTGGGTGAAATCTTAGGCAAACATCAAGCAAGCTTGATATATGTGGCACTGGACTGAAAAACAGGCTTATGTTTTAAGCCAGAAACAAGAGAAGTTCAGGCTTATTAAAAATATGGTGCAGCAGAAAGAGAAATGTGAAATTTCTATAGAAACCAATCAGAATTCATTTGGTTCTATTCTAACTTTAGTAAGGTGAATTCTGATTGGTTGCTGTAGGCTACTTTGTGCCTTTTGTTCTAGCACTCTTCATTACATGGTATATACCCCATACTTTGCAGATTATGTTCAGTGCATAGTTATCATTGTCCATCTGGCTAGAAAGAACCAAGGCTATAACCATGAATAAAGGATGTGAATGCTGTATATTGTAAGGTTTTCTAAATAGATTTTTGACTATATTCTAGTGAATCCGTACCAGAGGAGACACTGAGGAGGGCCAAGCAGATTGGGTTTTCTGATCGTTATATTGGGAAGTGCATGGGGTTGAGTGAACCTCAGACCAGAGAACTTAGATTGAACAAGAATGTCAAGCCTTGGGTCAAGCAGGTAAGCAAAGTCTGCTTAATAATACATATTGTTAAGCTTCTGCAAGCAGCTAATAGGGGTAAGTTATTTGTTAAATGTATGCAGCTCATAAATAATGGTTTATATTAGGGTTAAATAATATTTTAAATATTCCAAGAAATTCTTCTCTATCTAGTGCCATATACAGGGCTGGATTTCCCACAAGGCAGCAGTGAGTAGAGGGGCAGCGGGGTGTGGAATTCCTATCTACCAACGGCTGGGACATGCAGTTCCGGGCGCTGAGCGGGTAGTTGTTTTCTACATTTAGCCCTGCTTTGGACAAGCAAGGCTAAATGTACAGTGGGGATGCCACCACTTGTTTTGTACAAGTGATCTCGGCAATGTTGCAGAGAACACTTGTATTCAGCCTGCATACAGGGGGTGCATTGAGGAACCTGGCCTTGGGGCAGCAGAGAGAGTAAATGCAGCCCTGGCCATATAGCCCACTCGTGGAACTATGGGATGCTAGGCTTTACAGCACATGGGACCTTTTGGCTTGCCAAATTGCATTTTATATTCAGTCCCACCACTGGGACATGGTATTCTGAAGCTAATTACTAAAGGGAAACATAACTTTATATCACTACATTTTCAAACAATGCAAAAGAACAAACATATAGGGGTCTATTCACTAAGCTGCTGTAGGCAGCCGAGTGAATAAACGACCCGAAGTGAAGTGACATAGGAATGCATAGCTAGATTCCTATTGGCTATTTCACTTTGCAATAGCCAATAGCAAACTAGCTATTTCACCCGCCCTCTGCTGCTGTCAATCACTAGAGGGGACCTGATGGAGAACTTCAGGTCCCCTCTGTTGATTGACAGCAGCAGTGGGCGGGTGCAATAGCTAGTTTGCTATTGGCTATTGCAAAAGAACTTAGATTGAACAAGAATGTCAAGCCTTGGGTCAAGCAGGTAAGCAAAGTCTGCTTAATAATACATATTGTTAAGCTTCTGCAAGCAGCTAATAGGGGTAAGTTATTTGTTAAATGTATGCAGCTCATAAATAATGGTTTATATTAGGGTTAAATAATATTTTAAATATTCCAAGAAATTCTTCTCTATCTAGTGCCATATACAGGGCTGGATTTCCCACAAGGCAGCAGTGAGTAGAGGGGCAGCGGGGTGTGGAATTCCTATCTACCAACGGCTGGGACATGCAGTTCCGGGCGCTGAGCGGGTAGTTGTTTTCTACATTTAGCCCTGCTTTGGACAAGCAAGGCTAAATGTACAGTGGGGATGCCACCACTTGTTTTGTACAAGTGATCTCGGCAATGTTGCAGAGAACACTTGTATTCAGCCTGCATACAGGGGGTGCATTGAGGAACCTGGCCTTGGGGCAGCAGAGAGAGTAAATGCAGCCCTGGCCATATAGCCCACTCGTGGAACTATGGGATGCTAGGCTTTACAGCACATGGGACCTTTTGGCTTGCCAAATTGCATTTTATATTCAGTCCCACCACTGGGACATGGTATTCTGAAGCTAATTACTAAAGGGAAACATAACTTTATATCACTACATTTTCAAACAATGCAAAAGAACAAACATATAGGGGTCTATTCACTAAGCTGCTGTAGGCAGCCGAGTGAATAAACGACCCGAAGTGAAGTGACATAGGAATGCATAGCTAGATTCCTATTGGCTATTTCACTTTGCAATAGCCAATAGCAATCTAGCTATGCAATCCTATGGTGATTTATTTATTTTTATTCTAAAAGCAACGGCTCAGAAGAGCAGGGGAAGGTTTACTCCGATTGAGCAGAGTAAACCTTTCTGGGAGAAAGTGTTTCTCTCTCGGGCGGCCGGGAGCCGCTATCCAATACTCGACTGACCGCCCGGCCAACTTCGAGAGCTGTACGTGCTATTGTCAATGGGTCCTGGGGCCGAAGCTACCCGAAGGATCAGCGGAAGCTACGGCTAGATCCTTCGGCAGCTTTGTGAATAGACCCCATAATGTATATGTTGTTAAACAAATAAAGCTATATGGAAATTTCATGTAAATTACACACTCTAGGACCCATTTATTATTCTTGCTGGTACTCTAGCTGAATACTTGTTTTGTCCTCTTAAAGCTATAAAAGATCAACAGTACTGACTTTTGTTTATGTGGTGTTAGAGATAAAAAAAATTCTATTGCTTATTTGCTGAACCTTTTTTAATTTTTAATTTTTTGAATGAAGGCAAAAGAAAAATTGTTGTGCACAATC